AGCACATTTGAAACTGAGCATTTTTCTCTGTGTTGTAAAACTTATGCAGACCACAAACAAAGGACTGGATGGGTTTATTTCACATGTTGTGGGTCAGTAGACACTCAGGTTACCCAGATATATGTTCACAAACACTGAAGAAGTTTTCATTATATGTCCCCTTTAAGCCCCCCGCTCACCCCGAGGTTTGTGTTTATTTTGTTTCACATGTACATCTAACATCTCAAGCTAACATCTCAAAAATACACTCAGTTTACTGCACATTGCACATATTGCACAAGTTCACTTATTCTTTAAATTTTATTTTATTTTATTTACCATTTTGTACCTTTTAGAATTTATTACTGTAAATATTATTTATGTTATTTTTACCTCATTTTATCTATTTTACCTTATCTTATTTTACCTTATTTTGGTTGTATTGCACTGCGGGACGGAGACAAACGAAATTTCGATTCCACTGTATGTCTGGCATATTTTGAAATTGACAATAAAGTTGACTTTGACTTTGACATTGATGAGAAGTTACTTAATAAGCACATTTTGTAGAGAGTAGTGGTTGAGAATAGAAACTCTTCAGGACCTTCTGGGGGTGAAAGTGAGGACAACATTAGCATGAAGTGTGGCTCCATCTAGTGACTGAAACATGTCACTGCAGCTCCGTGCCCTACTACAAATAACCCTGAAACCAAACATGCTGTTAATGTAGATATTATTTAAAACGTATGACTCTATACAAACCTTTCATGTAAATACTGTTAAACTCCACCTCATGTACATTAACCCGTCTGTCACATCATTAAAATGTTTTATTATCATGTTTGCACTATTGTCTCGTTTAGTTTAGTACATTTATACATCACTGCTAAGCTGCTGTTGATGTGACAACAAAGAGCAGGGATCATCAGCGTATAAAGAGATCTCATCACATCTTCAACTACGTACTTTGTTCTTTCTAATAAGTCGTAGGTGTTTCATATGAAAAGACTGAGACACAGATGATCATGAGGATTTATTTAGAGTCTAAACATTATAAATAAAGATGGATAATTGAAGGACAGAGGTTTGTAACAACATCCATCAGAACACAACAGAAGCTTCAGTTCAATCCACATTAGATCCTTCTGTGGTGATGAATACATGTAACATATGAACCACATGAGAAACATTTCAATATCATGATATTCTAAACAAAGGTTCTGGAACAACACATTCAGACTGAAAGGGGTCCTTGTAGTCCTGATGGGTCTCTTTTGTGAACCATCTTGAAGTAATGTTTGAAATGATTTGGAGCTCTACCCATAAAAGTCGACTGGATGATTTTACAGCTGCACGGTGGTGGTGGTGGGGGTTAGCATCACTTCCTCACAGCTGACATCTATCATGGACAACCCCTCTCACCTCCTACATGACACTGTGGGGGCCCTGAGCAGCTCCTTCAGCAGCAGACTGAGACACCCACCCTGCAAGACAAAGCGCTACCGCAGGTCGTTCATCCCATCTGCAGTCAGACTCTTTAATCAGACTCTTTAACAGCATCACCACCTCATGCTACACATTGAGTGTGTTTTTTAAAGAACAAAACCCCTTTCCTGTGTAGTTATTGTGTAACTTTACATTATTGTATTTTTTTTATTTTAACTGAATGTAAATATGTTTGATTTGATTTTAACTTCTATTTTTATTTTTAATAATTGTATTCCCGTCCTGTTTTCTGGAGCTGCTGTAATGCACAAATTTCCCCCACAGGGGATCAATAAAGTTTATCTTTATCTTTATATTCAAGAAAGTTATCAGAGGGAAAGCTAGAACACTCTTCAAATTATCAATAAAAACAAGCATTTTGGCTCCAACACCTGTAATTGACAGTCCAGGGTGTAACCCCGCCTCTCGCCCAATTGGCTCCAACCAATCTGACCCAGAACCATCAAGTGGTTCAGGTAATGGATGGATGTTTCTTTGACAAATTCAGAGTCTACACGACTGCAGAGACGTTTTCCTCTCATCAGCAGATTTAATGACACATTTTTATATAACATTACATATTATAATAATAACATTATTATTGCACAAGAGGTAGATAACAGAATATAACATTATTATTGAACAAGAGGTAGATAACAGAATATAACATTATTATTGAACAAGAGGTAGATAACAGAATATAACATTATTATTGAACAAGAGGTAGATAACAGAATATAACATTATTATTGGCCCTCAGGGTCCTGGAGGTGTACAGGTAAGATGGTAGACTTGCAGCCAATCACGCTGCAGTGTAGCAGACTGATGGAGGAGGAGAGGATGGACTGGATGATGGAGGAGTGCACCATCAGGGTCTTTGGCAGGTTGAGTTTGTTGCCGTGGTAACCAGGACAGGACGTGCTCCAAGTTTAAAGGACGAGAGAGGGAAAGTTTGTCTCTGTGTGTCCGTCCAGTCCAGGGTTTAACCCCGCTGACCCAGAACCATCAAGTGGTTCAGGTAATGGATGGTTGATTGTTTCTCTGACAAATTCAGAGTCTACACGACTGCAGAGACGTTTTCTCTCTTATCAGCAGATTTAAAGACACATTTTTTAAAGACACAGAGAGACAGTCCAGCTGATGCTGTCAGGACCAGTAACAGTCCCAGTCCAGCGTAGAGACCAGTTCTTCCCCGACTCTCTTCTCCTGGTCTCACTGTTAGTCTCTGAGTTTGGGGCTCATGAGCAGCTGCTGTGAAGGAAAATAAAAAAACAACATTAAACTCTGTACAAACAGAAACTATCTGCATGAAGCTACAACATGAAACAGTGTAAATAATAATATGAACTATGTCATGTCTTCAAATAAAAGAAGAAGAAGAAGAAAGGAGGAGGCAGGAACTAATATTGAAAGAGATTTGAAACAACACCCTCAACATTCAGTCAAATCTCAAACGTCTGAACATGAAACCAAACGTGAACCTGAGGTTTGTGTGAAATCAGGAGAGACACAGGTCGGACTTGAACCTCCTGAGCTCTACTGAGTCAACTTACCGGTCACATTAAGACGACTTCTACCAGCGACCACATCAGACTTTAACCTCCATTTACACACGTATAGCCCCGAGTCTTCAGTCCTCAACGAGGACATGTGAAGTCTGAGTCGTCCTTCTTTAAGGACGTCTTTGTCCCAGTGGACTCGTCCTGCAAACTGTTCATCCTGATACTCTGAGACCTTGACTCCTCCAATCAGATCAAACAGTCTGGAGACGTCATGATCAGTGACCATCACACAGTAGATGAAAAGAGAGTGAAGTGAGGAGTCATCTTGGGGTGTGAAGGTCCACTCCAGAGTGACGTTCTGGTTCTCCTCTAACTGATAGAAGCTCTGAGTCACGTTCACTTCAAATGTTCCTGCTGAGGAGACACAGAGAGAGAGAGAGAGAGAGAGAGAGAGGAGAGAGAGAGAGAGAGAGAGAGAGAGAGAGAGAGAGAGAAGGAGAGAGAGAGAGAGAGAGAGAGAGAGAGGGAGAGAGAAATTCACTCTAAGCATTCGTTACTGTATGCGATGGGCAAAATAAAATTCTCTCTCTCTCTCTCTCGCTCTCTCTCTCTCTCTCTCTCTGTCTCTCCCTCTCTCTCTCTGTCTCTCCCTCTCTCTCTCTGTCTCTCTCTCTCTCTCTGTCTCTCTCCTCTCTCTCTCTCTCTCTCTGTCTCTCTCTCTCTCTCTCACCACAGTCACAGCAGGTCATCATGAGGGGCAGCAGGATCCTGTACATCATCTTCTTCCTGTGAGAGGACACAGAGCTGAAGAGACACAAACACATGAGGTCAAAGTTCAGTCCTCTGAAGGTGAGCAGAGCCCCCTACAGGCTGTCTGTGGTCATTACAACATGAACATGAATGCAGCAGCAGGAAGCACTACCGCACAGACCACTCCAAATGTTGAGGATCAAATACATGCTGCTTTAAAGTGTTATATATTGACAGGGACTGTTGCAAAAAAAAAAAAAATTATATTAAATCATGTTGCAGAAAACTTTGTTGTTAATATTTATTTCTTATTTTTCTAGTTTTGATGTCTTTGTGAAAAGTGTCATCCCGGGGCTAACAGCCACAGACCCACACTCGGCTCTCGTCCCCGATGTCAAAATCCCGGTCTGACTCGCTTTATCTCTTCAACTTCCCTATCTTAAACATAACTTTCTGATCCTATCTGTGTCTCTTACTCTGTCACGTAAATAAACCGAAATAAACAGTTCCACAGCGCCCCTACAGGCCTGGAGCACTTCCATTTAAGGATTAACTTGCAGCGTTTCTGTGTTTTGACCAAGGGGCAACCTCCGGTCTCGAAAAATGAAGCCTATGCGGAAGTACAAAAAACTGCAGTTCCTCGAGGTTCCTCTTGAGGCTGGCTGCAGAAGCGCCGGAAGTGCCATAAGCCCACAGCCAAAAAAGCCCGTTTTCACCACAGGAATCAACATGTTTACAGCCTGGTTCAAAAAACGAGATGTATCTGAGAAGTTGACGGCCCTTCTCCTCACACTGTGGGGGGGGGGAATTTTTTTATAACTCATCGGATTTTATTCTTTTAAGGAAAACGACTATGCCCATATTTGGTTGTGTCAGATTTGATTGACAGCTCTGCGCGCTGCATCTGTCTGTCAGGTCAGGAGGTCAGGAGGTCAGAAGGTCAGCAGGTCAGGAGGCTAACATCTTGATCCGTCTGATTTCTCCTCTTTCTTACTTCGTTTGGAGAGTTTGTTTAACACATATCTGACAACATACATGGCTTGCTGTGCGGTTAACAGACCATCCAACAAGTTGATGCTTCAGTTTTTTCCAATAAGTGATATAGTAGTGTTATATTTACTGCTTACTCATGTGTTTATATTTACGGACCTAGCTTGTTTAGCGTTAGCTTGTAAACCAGTCGGCTAACTGTGTAGCTCATTATTTACATTATTTACATTATTTACATTATTTACATTATTTACGGTCAATGGTTTAGAAATGTTTGTTGTTAAGATGTTGTTGTTGAAAATAGTGAGTTTGTGTGATGTTAGAAGCTAAAGGTTCAGCTCGGTGGTTAACCACAGACTGTAAATATGGTTATCTGACGTTATGATGAATGTTATACTCCACGTAAATGTGGACATTAAAAAACAAACTTTGTGTAGTAATTATCCGTCAGTAACATAAACTGAACTGAACCTAATCTGCTGTGTAGGTTATAGAGGATGACATTAAAGTTACATGGTTGATGTAGTGTCTTAAGATTTGAGCAAACTGTTAACAAATAAAAAAAACTTCACTTTGTAAGAGCATCTGTAACCATTAAGAACTATATTAATAACCATATTAATTTTCACTGAACTCATACACAGAATATAGCTGTAGAAATATAAAATATAAATAACATGGAATGAAAATAAGATTTAAAGCACATAGATATAAAGTATAAGAAATAGTTTGAAGAATACAGCCATGTACTGAGCTCATGTTAATAATAAATGAGTTACTGTATGTTCTGTACTAAAGCACAGAGAGTTGGGACCTGTTAATGATTTAAATAATTCAGGTTATATTTGTTTCATGTTAAGATGAAGTACTATCCACAATAAATTGCTGAATTTTTCCTCACACAAAATCTGAGATAATTTGATGTGGAATATCATTGTGTGAGTGAGAGAGCTGAAAACAGCATGATTACAATCATGTTTATCTTCTTAACTTTGAATAGATGTTGATTACCTGAATACTGGACCTTTGTTGTCTGGGTAGTACACTGTTGAATTTATAAATGTGCTCTTACACACAGATGAATACAGAAAAATAGATGAGAACAAACAAAATGATTTAATGAATAACTGATATTTTCTCTCTTTCTTTGTCATCCTGAAGACCGCTCACTAAAAGTCCATGTTCTCCTGGATCCATGTCACATGCTCGAGCTTCTTCTGAATGACTTTTCAACAGTCGAAGTTCTGCTGAGAGAAGATGGCCAGCAGATAAGACAGCAGTACATGAAGGAGCTCCACAAGCTTCAGGAGGAGGAGGAGGGTTTGCACCTTGGAAGACTGTATTCATGCTGTTCAAATAAAACTAGATCTCCTCCAAACAACTTGCAATCAAACTATTTTCTTCCCATTTTAAACCCTTTGTCCAGTTTAGATGGGAGAAGCTGATATTATGTGATATTGATCAGGGAAGACTACATTTCTAAATCATTTTTAACTGTGTTTTTATTCACAAGTTATTGATCTTATTTACTCTCCACGTATCTTGATTTAAGAATGGGGCTGTGTTTAAGGTCATCATTTTGCAATGACTCTGTTCCATCCCATTTTAAGAAATGAACTACATTAGTATTTATCAAAAGAATAAGAAGTTGTGTAAAAGTAGACTTCCTTCCCTAAGCTATTGAGTTGAGCATTAATCTGAAATGTATACTCATAAGTAGACATAAAGGAGTGCATTTATATAGAAATATTTATTTAATCTGAAAAACAACATTAAAAAAAGCCTGTTTTTACAGCAGAGATGAACATGTTTACAGCTTGGTACAAAACAAACAAATAGGTGTGATTAGCTCATGTCTGGATGGACACACACTGTACGGGGGGGGTGAATGTTTTGATGACTCATCAGTTTTGATTTGATGAAGGATAAGAGTTATTCACAATAAGGTGTGTAGCTGACCAGCTTGACAGGCGGGCGCGGTGTAACGGTTTGTCAAGATTCTTAAAACCCGCCTCAGCTCTCAGCCTGTGGGTGTCATCACTCAGGCCATCCGGGGGAGACCTCCCTCACAGCGAGCTGTTGAAGAGAAGCAACTGAAGTCCACCCCAGAAGAACCAACAAATGCAGATGTTGTTGAGGCTCAGGTTTCTTCCTCTGTCTCTGCAGCTCTCTGGGCACCTCGACGGACCAGTCACCAATAATCCACACTGTGTCTATAGGAGAAATACAAAGGTGTTCAATTAATGCCTCAGACAACATGTACAGTTAACTACATGTGACAGCTCAGGCTGTTTTTTTGTTATGAGCCACATCTGCAGGAATAATATTGAACAAGGTAGCTGCAACTCATCATAATAGATGCCAGTCTTAAACACTATTTTTTCTAATACTTAAAGTTTTTGGTGTGAAGCTGACACTGTCCACAGACTCCATGACTTCACAGGTTCAATAGAAAACAAATGTCTTATAATAAATACTAAATCATTATTTTTCAGTTGTCATGTTCACCTCATCGCTGTTGACATCAGTAAATATAAGACTCAGACATTCCTCTTTTTGTCAGAACAGTAACATGAACTGTATGCTTTGTAATATTGATTTCTTCTGGATGTCTCATATTTATTTACAGTTTATGGATAAAACTTTGTTAATGTATTTCTCTGCTAACACTGACAAAGTCTAACTGCTCTGACAAATAACTAATAACCATGATTGTATATTTAAAAAAGTGTAGTTTTAAGACTTTAATTAAATATTTGTGTTGAATATAATTAGTTTTAACTGTGTTGTAGAAAAGTTAAATGTTAACTTACTGTTTGTAGAGTTTTCTCAGGACGAGCAGGAATAGTTGATGATAGCAGCCTAGCTGTTAGCTATGCTGTGAAGTGGACTGCTGACGTCGAGCTGAATGGGCGGAGCTAAGTCCCGCCGGTCCCGCCTTACTGCTGTAGCTAGGTTGATCCGAAGTTAGGTTGAAACTGCAAATCCAATATGGATGCGGCCGTCGATTGGACTCATTTTCTGCCTATGTAACAGACGGGTCAGGGTTCGTCCAGTAATATTTACAGTCTATGGTTTTGACTTAAGTTTCGTTTCTGTACTTGCAGTGCGTTTGATGTCTAAATGTATGTCGTTTCATCAGTTGCTGATCGTTTGACCCCTACCGGCCACCGTAGATAACAGATTATTTATCATCAATAGTAGATGATGAATACATGTGCTTTTGATCATTGATTTCCTTACTGTTGTCTGTAATATGGCTTTCTTGGATTTACTTTGTTCTCTTTCTAGAAAATCTGCCTTGCAAAATTCGCTATTTTTTCTATAATGTTTACAGAACAGATGTGCTGCTGAGCTGATAAAAGACTGACTAAAAGACTGACTTTGACCTATACCTACTTGAGTGTGAGGCTGTTGGGCAAGATCATTTGATCATTTTTGGAATTGTTTTGTATTTTATTTAATTTTTTTAACTTAACACAATTAAGGATTTTTTGCACTACTTTAAGTTAAGACAGTCAAAGATGGCTCTTTTAGTTCTTCAGTTGTAATAACTGCCGTTGGTCAAGGACTTTATAGAATGTACATGCATGTTTCTTGTTAATACATTTGAAATCAATTCTTAACTTTAGTTTTCATTCTTGCATTAGTAATGGCATTTAATGTTTTAATGGTATGATGTAATTTTCTGTCATGTCTGTAAATGTTACTGTACATTGTAAATATGGCACTGAAGCTTGATTTGAAGAAAATCGTGAAGAAAATCGAAATATCTGCCAGAAAAATCGCAATTAGATCTTTTCCTAAAATCGTTCAGCCTTACTTCGTGATAGGAAAGACGGTTAAACAGTCAGCCCTCTCTAGATGAGTTTAAGAGCTGCAAATCTAATTTAATGATTAAAAACTAATGTTGAAAACTAATCTAATTATTTTAGTTTTATATAAAAAACATATCTAATGAGTACTACATTTCGACATTATAACGAAGAGTCAAATTTCTTAAATTCTAACGGCTCTTGTAACCATGACAACCACAGCACTTTACACCGGTACGGAGAAGAGAGGAGCTTACCTTCGACAAGCGTCCACAGTAACAGACTGAAAGGAGCAGTCAGAGTCCAGAGAGGGAAGGTCAGACCGGAGCCTCCGAAGAAAATCATAAAAGTACCCGGTTAAAACACAGATACCGTCGGTTACCGTCGTTACAGTGCTGTCGGAGCTCTCCGCTGCTGGGCGAGTGTGTGACATGTTTCTGTCTACAGGTTCTACTTAAGTGTTCACAAACTGGGCGGGGCATTGTGACGTCAACATGTTACATGACGTACAAGGCGCACTGCATTGTCTGGTTTTGGAAAGTAAATTGAGATAGTTCTGGTCTTATCTGTATTTCCGGACCGTGGTGACAGTAGAAACGTAAACATTGCCATTATTTAATCCATCAGATAGATTAAATGAGATCATAAACGCAATCATTTATCCTCTTCCCTCTACTTAGGCCTACTCATTGATTTAAACATAGATTAAAAAACAATATTCAAATACAAATGGTTTTATTGTAATGACTTTTTTTAATTATTCATCTATTAATACATTTTTCTACGGTGGCCGGTAGGGGTCAAACGCTCAGCAACTGATGAAACGACATACATTTAGAAAAACTACCACAACGAATGCAAAGGCTGAAACGCGCTGCAAATAGGCAAAACAACTGCATAAGCATCAAACGCGCTGCAAGTACAGAAACAAAACTTAAGTCAAAACACACATAACCAGTTGTGACAATAACTTGCCTCTGAGTCATAGTGAAGATTGTTCTGGGCGTGTCACCCCATAAAAACATCACACCAGATTTTCAGACCAAAGAAAACACTCTTCTCCAAGCTCCAGAGACACACCACTTCTATTTTTAGACTTCCCCATGTTTTCTTGTATAGAGACGTTCCCTCCTGCAACATTTCACAAAGATGGCAGCACCTGAGATATGAAAAGCATCTGAGGTGAAGATTGTGCTCTTGGTTTTTCTCTGAAAGTCACAGTTTTTGCAGCTTTGATCCAGTAGAGTAATGAACAGTGGCACCAAGTTGATGTAGCTGTGTGTGATGGTCATTGTGCTATAGTCGGAGGCCCAGCTTACATTACTCAACACATTGTAGATGTCATGATTTTGTTTTTTATTTGGTATATTTTCAGCACTATTTATCAATCTTAGAGTTGTAGTATAATCAAGAGGAGATGGTTAATGTGCTGTGAGTTTGATGAAACTACAACATGTTATAGTAGTTATTACTTATTTTATTACCAAATTTAATGATAAAAAAATAAATCACTGAAATTACATGAAAGCACTTTATGCAAAGCAGTGTGATGTAGTTTATAGAGCAGGAGGACATTTATTCATAATGGGATTTTTTTTTTTACCCTACACCTTACAAAGGGGATTTTATTGAAACTTGGATTATTTATAGGCTGTTAAAAAAAATCCTCGAAATTCTGTAAAAGTATTATATTCCAAATCTAAAAAATGTAGGATGAAAAACGTGAGATCACGTGTGTGTAAAATGTTTCTGATGACACTGCTGTTTTGATCATTGTAGCAACATGTCACACGCGGTGCCTTGGTCTGTCTCCCTCCACCTCAGCTGCCACAACTTCAAACATTTATATTTACAGTTTATGATAGAAACAGCTGGCCTCTTCAGAAGTTATTTCTGCAGGTTTTCCGTTTTAATTACAGTTTAAATAAACATCCCTTTAGTACCTGTGGACATGTTGCTGCTTGTGTGTAATGTTTAAGTGTTGTGTTGCAGAAATAGTCGACCCTGACGTCCCGTACACCGATGTAACCATCACACCGGGAGTCCAACCAAACAGGATCACAGGTAAATAATAAAAAGGTTCCATCGAATCAAAATCAACATCAAATAAAGCAGACCAGAAATACATCATTATGTGACTCTGCATTAAGTCTCTGCTGGCTCTGTTTGAGATATATATGTATATTTATAGATTTATTTGTGGTCTTTTTTTGCCTTTATTGAAGAGACAGATCGGTGGATAGAGTCAGAAATCTGGTAGAGAGAGAGAGAGAGAGAGAGAGAGAGAGAATCAGAGCGAGAGAGAGAGAGACAGAGAGAGAGAGAAAGAGAGAGAGAGAGAGAGAGAGAGAGAGAGACAGAGAGAGAGAGAGAGAGAGAGACAGAGAGAGAGAGAGAGAGAGAGAGACAGAGAGAGAGAGAGAGAGAGAGAGAGAGAGACAGAGAGAGAGAGAGAGACAGAGACAGAGACAGAGAGAGAGAGAGAGAGAGAGAGAGAGAGAGAGAATGGGGGATGTCATGCGGGAAAAGATCCACAGGACAGATCCAAACCTGTGCCGCCAGCTTTGAGGACTACAGCATCTCTGCACATGAGGATGCAAACTAACCACTAGCCCACCGGCACCCAAAGCGCCTCACAACAAGAAGGCTCCTGGTTGTTGAGTTTGCATAAAATGACAGCTCATGTGACTTTCTATAAAAAACCAAAAACACCAAACTTCCTCTTTGTTCTGAGGTCTCACTTTGGTGTCTGGTAGTTTCTGTTAGAGTGATATCGTCATGGTAACGGTGACCCCCTCTGTGGTATTCTGTCGTATTAATATTCCCGTCTGCCGTTCCTCAACAGATTTGGACGCCGTGCCGACCTTCTACTCGACGGTCAGACCCGGAGACGCCTGACACGAAACCTCAGCACCTCCACACATGTGTACAGTCACATTCTGATGGAGATGACCACAGAGACGTTTAATCACACAGCGTTTTGAACAGTTTAAAATAGCTTCATGTCAGGGCATGGTCATGTAGAATTTGACAATCTTTGGTCAACGCTTCATGAGAAAACGTGTCAGAGTTTGGTTTAATGTTGACGTTATCTTATTATACTTTCTACTCTGTAAAATAGTGTTTCAGAGGCTCTTTGCAGCCGTGCAACTGCGAAAAAGAAAACTAACAACAAACCCTGACAGATAAAGAAGAGGTCAGAACTGCAGAGTCCGGTTTTTATTGAGGGTTTGACGCCCTGAGTGACGTCTTTTATTAGACATGTCCTCACATGATCCAGTATTTATAGACGTGAAAAGGGTGCAGCCTTTTACTACACTGTAAATGTTTGACTTTATTGATATATGTGCTTAGTAAATTCTTTGCCTCGCATATTTGTGAACTATTTTTGGCAGAGAGTTTCTATGTGTGTCAAACATTGACTTCCACATTTCGCTCGGTTTGACTGACGTCATCCAGCAGGGATTTCCTCGCTCAACTCACGCCCACAGGAAACCTCGACGAGTTTCACTGGAATTATCACACCACAGCTGTTCCCTCAGCAATCAAGCTGTAGTTTACATGCGTCAGAGTTTCCCACTCAATGAGAGCAAAACTGTTACATACATGTTACAAATATTTAAAGAACACAGTACAGAACCCTCAATATGAAAAAACGGCGGACAACAGGCCAACATTAAACAAGAGGTTCAACCGTCTTGGTTTCCAGGAGAGACAGAGGTCATCTCTCAGAACATTTAATTATCAGGAAGCTTCTCTTGATGCTGTTATAAACCGGTACGAGGGATACAGAGCGAGGGAAGACTGTCCACTTATTCACGTTGGATGGCAAGTTTGTCTTGAATGTGTAAAATAAATAAATAAATAAAGCAGAAGTTTTGGTTCATCTTTGAATATTCCTTTCATGGCTGGAGGGATTTTTGATCCTTTGATCTTAAACTTTGACCGTCGACCACCAAATTCTACTAATTTCATAACTGAGTCCAAATTAATATTTTTGCTGAATTTGGCGCTGTTCCCTCCAAGTGTTCCTGAGATATTCCAATCACAAGATGAAGCTTCAAAGCATATTGACTCTGGCCCGTTGCACTTTCAGAGGCATCAGAATGTCTTATCGTCTCACCACAAACTTTTCCAAATAACATTCTTTATCCATCTAGCTGAGATTTAAAAAAACATACTGGCTATGTTCCCTCGCTCACCTTTATTTAAGATGTGCCACAAAATGAAATAAAGTCTTTTAAAAGCTCTTTCTAAAAGCTGTCAATCTCCCTGACTTTGCTGATCCTCTGAATTTCCCTCAAGTGGCCCCCTGTTTAGCATAAACATTAGCATACTAATGTGTTCAGATAAGAGGGTTAAGATGGGGAATTTTAGCCTTTAAGTCCCAAAGATATGAAAGTAACAGATACTGTAGTGACTTATTTTACCCCAGGGAGTCCAGTTTCCTCCAGCTGTCCCTGTTTCACATTAACCATTTCCTTGTGAACTTTAAAGTAAGCATGCTGCATGGTTTATCACCAGTCCCAACAACAACATTAGAGTTCTGAGGACCGTTAAAGGCTTCAATATCAGGTAGTTTTACATGTTTTGTCTTAAAGCATGAATCACAGTGGGAGAAACTTCTCAGTGAGCATTGGTGCTTCTACACCATTTCCAATTGGTTATGGCGTCCCACAGGGCTCAATTTTAGGTCCTCTACCTTTATTTGTTTTTACCTCCCTTAGGGTAAAATCTTGGTAAATATAGCAAGAAAAATAATTTCGAGGATGACTGCATACCTCTCTTTAAGCCTTTCAAACTCTGATGTCGAACTACAAATACTCCGCAACTGATTGGCCAAGTTACGTAGTTCCCTGTCTGACAACAGCTGAAAGACTGTCATGTTGTGTCATTTGTACAGAAAGAAGGAAAATATGTGGAAAACAAAAATGACTCATTTTAACTAAAGACTAAAAGGGAAAACATTAAAAGCTTACTTTATGGACAGTTCAACAAAAATGTCCACCAAAAGTCCAACAACCGGCAAACGAGAGAAAACACACAGCAGGTAGACATAGGGAAATTCACACATGAACACAGAAGGGATAGACGATAGTTCAAGAGCTTGGAGCTCTTTGGACAAGTCAATGCTGACACCTAGTGGCCGAACACTGACATTGTGAAGAAAGCTTCAAGTGTAAAATATTATTAATAAAAAGTGACATGTTTAACTGTTGAAATCTATAAAAAAGAAAAATAGAAAGTACACCTGGGTGAACTCTATTAAGGCTTCAAATGCTGAAAAACTCTTTAAAAAAAAGAACCCATACAGATCTAAAGACACTAAAAACAGTGATGAAAGAATCTGAGTCAAGTCATCTTTGTCCAAATGCTTGAGACCAAATGCCCACTAGCTGGCGCAAGAAAGTTATGCAACGTGTTTGATTGGTTCATTGGAAGTCTGTGTGAATGTTTCTCCAAGTTTATCCTCACAGGGCGATCTCAATGTTAGACTCACTTCTCATTCACAAAGAAATAAGAACTGAAGATAAAGATGGCCGACGATTTCTCTCAAATCTGCAAACATATTAACTCTAAAATGACCAGATTGACTGAATTCTTTGAGTTTCCTTACATTAAAACAATCTAAAAATAAAAACCAACGTCTTCATATTTGTACGTATTTTGAATTTAATAGAAGTGAAAATTAAAATTTTAAACATACATGAGAGCATGATATGATGTAAGTATGAAACTCATGACTGTTTGATATTCTGTTCTTTTTTAACACGGTGAAACAAGAGTGACATGTAGGTTATAAGAAAACAAAGATGAATAAAGATTTTAAAATATTTTGGTGTTTGTGGTGATTTCAGCCGGAGTTGCTCTTCGTCTTCATTCCAGTCTGAAACGATCAGAAGCTGAATCAGCTCGAGCTGTGGGAAGAAAAAAACAGAGAAGAACCTGTCTTCATAAAGAGTAATTAAAGGGTTAAATCTCTAGTTAAAGGCAGGTTTTGTTGGTCGACACTCTTCAGCTTCACTTCTTGCTTTCTGCCAGTGTTGCTGGGAATGTTGTTGCCGTGACGACCAGCTCACTTTATTAGCCGCAGGCTCTGGCCTGTCATTTTTGCTCTTTACCTATGTGTTGTGTGGTATCACAGTGTTGAGGTCTATACCACCAAAGTGATCTTTGTTGCACGTCTGCTCAGCTCGGGAGTTTTTTGTCAGATGATAAACGTGGAACAAGTTTCTCACTAATGACCGTTTTTTTCCGTCTCTTAAACAGAATTTCTGAAAGTATCACACTTTCATCTCAATTCTCATTAAGTATGATGTGATCACAATAACACTGGTTTTACAGCTGCAGTTCGTCCAGTGACCACTAGAGTCTGTCTCCTGCAGTGAGTCAGTCCCCATAGAGCCCCATGTTAAAACGTCCAACTTTACAGCTGCAGTTCCTCCAGTGTCCACTAGAGTCTGTCTCCTGCAGTGAGTCAGTCCCGATAGAGCCCTATGTTAAAATATCAGTGTTGAGCAGTCATTTAAGTTTAAATTGAGTGTGAATGTGGGATGACCCTAACCCTCTTGTGACAGAAGCAGGTTTCAAAGTTCAGTTTGGTCTAAACATGGACGTTTAATCAACATCCTCACAAATGATGTTGGTGAAAAAAAGGAATCTTGAACGTCTTGAGCCAGCGGTGGCCATACTCAGTGGAAAATTGCTCACTGTTGACCAACCAAAGAGTGACATCACGTTGGCTATGTCTACTTCTTTTATACAGTCAGGAGGCCAACAAAGAAATATCAACACAGGTATCAGTATGTTGTTACCGCGAGCCCTCAGTCGGTACTTGTATATACACACTGAGAGTATGATGGTGTAGAGGACGAACAGCAGGATGCTGCACACCAGCTTGGGCAGAGATATGAGAGGAGGACGGGGATGAGTAGCGGGATGGGGATCAGCAGGTCGAGCTGTGAGGAAGAAAAAACACCATCAGAACATCACACAGAAGCTAAACCAAATCTCGAGGATGTACTGAAGTTTGAGACGTGGGTAAATGGATAAAAGCTGAACGAGGGACTGCACTGAGCCAATCTCAGAAACTATTGGCGAGCAGCGTTTTCAGTGACCTAAAACGCAGTTTACGTACATATGGTAGAATTTCAAGTCACCTCTCACTGCCAGCCAGCTCTGCAGGGACTCTCCTTTCATTGGGTGTTTACACTTGTAGAAGCCTTCGTCAGACATGGACACCGCTGGCAGGAACATCTTTCCTTCAGCCTCAGTACCGATGAAAACATTATCCTTGAAGAAACTGGCAGAAAAATCTGATGTTGATGATCGAAGACGTTTTTCCTTGTGGGAGCATGTTACCTCCCTCCGTCACGGGTAAGGCTGGGCTCTCCAAGATCACATCCCTGTCTGAAAAAAAAGTCAAAGTCCAATTTAAGAAAAACCAAACAGACAAAAAAAACGAGTACTTACCCATACTTGGTATATTTGGTATTACCTGCCACTGTGATGTTGACGACGTTGCTGCACTCCCCGTCCTCCGACTCACACCAGTACGCTCCGGTGTCAGATTCGTCGGTGTACCGAGTGGAGCAGGAGGAATTACCCAGGATGCCCCAGGACGCACACGGCTCAGAGCTGCTGAAGGAAGTGTTTCTTTTCACTGTCCAGCTGCTGGTGTTGGCCACCACCTCACACTTCATGGAGAAGCCTTCAAACTGGAAGAGCTGCAATCTGTCAGGAGTGACTCTCAGCGTGGCTGCAGAAAGTCAGGATGAGTTGGGTCAATCACCTGTGTCCTGCATTGTTGTGTTAGCATGCTAATGTTAGCGCTCTTTAGTCAGCTCGTAGCTTCACATTGTTGTGTTAGCATGCTAATGTTAGCGCTCTTTAGTTAGCTCGTAGCTTCACATTTCATGTAAACTGACACAGAATGAGCGTGATCTAAAAACTCTTACTAACATCCAAATAATCAGTGAGTATGTTCTTCTTCTTCTCTCTAGTTCTTGACTAAAACAGCTTTTATACACAAGGGGAGGAGCCGGCCGTCCCGTCCATGTAAACACGGCTCTGACAACAACACAGCCAGCGGGACTCGAGCTTCTCCCTCATTGTAGACAGTCAGGACTCAGAGACACATTTACACAGGACAGACTTTATGATTTATTTATGAGGAACATGTCACACCTTTAAATCTTTTGTTTTATTGGCTCTTGTGTTAAGATAATCTGAAGCAGTGGTCTTTACCCTTTGGATGCAGTATGAAGGAACCCTTTGCCAGTGGTTTAATGGTTAACTTTTGTTGCTGTTCATGGTACTTTTTCTGTCCATTTCAAGGCACAGTTTTTAAGGTCCTATTAAATGTCACTTTAAAGGCTTTACATGTGATTTTTTGATCCAGCAGATGTCGCCCTTGAGCACCAGCATGAAACCAAAACAACTCGCGCTGCATTGTTGTGTTAGCATGCTAATGCTAGCGATCTTTATTATGCTGGTATCTTCACACTGCATGTAAATTTACCTGAAATGAGCGTGATCTAGAAACACAGTTAAGCAGTGAGTACAGTATGTTATTCTTCTTTTCTCTAGTCCCTCAATTAAACAACTTTTATACACGAGGGGAGGAGTCAGCCGGCCGTCCAGGCGATGTAAACAAAGTGAAGATAGGACTCTGAAAACTCTGAAAACATCACAGACAGTGGGACTCGGGTGTTACACCCATTGTAGACAGTCATGACTCACAGAGTTATTTTCAGAGGAGATACTTGATTTCTACATTTAAGTGTGAAAAATCACATATAAAGACTTTAAGGTATTTCACAGCTTTTTTAAACATCTCTGAAGCCGCTGTAATGGTCGTCTTTAGCAACAGTTGGCTGG